ATTTTGTTTTGAGACAAAGTCTCACTATGGTAGCCCTGACTGACCTGGAACTCTGTAGACCAGGCTGGCCTTGGACTATAACCTGCCTGCCTCTGCCTCCCGAGTGCTGGGATTACAGGGCATATACTACCATGCCTGGCCTATTACTTTAAAGACTGTATAATTACTCTTTCACCAGCTCTCCTAAAAACCATGGTTTGCTACCATGGTTTGTATTTTGTTACAGTTATTTCCATTTTCATTTATGAATAACACTGATATGAATCTTTGTACAGTACGTGTTCTGTGTGGCTTATTTCTCAACAGTATTGCTGGAGTAGGATGAAAAGATACATGTTTTATAGTTACATTTTACAGATTTCAGATTTCTTGTCAAATGAACAAATTTGTAGTATTGTTACTAAGTAGAAGAATTAGTAGCAATTAATTAATTCACTTTTAGGGGCAGGATCTATATAGTCCAAACTAGCCTTGAATTTATAATCCTCCTGTCTCTTCCCAAGTGCTGTGACTGCAGGCATTAGACGCTTGTGCCATGATGCCTGAATGGAGTTATTAGCTTTATTACTATTATTATTACTACTACTACTACTACTACTACTACTACTACTACTACTACATGTTTTTTGACACAAGGTCTTGTTAGCACTGGAGGGCTTGCCTGGGATTTACTTTGTAGATCAGGTTGGCCTGGAAATTTTGGTGATCCTCCTGTCCCTGCCTCTCAAAGTGCTGGGATTTAAGGCTTGTGTTACCACATGTGACTTGCAGTTCTTTCTGTCTTTGAAGAGTGTAAGGCTTTTATTTAGAAAGTGAGATTTAAACTTCTATTTCAAAGTAAAAATGCATGCAAACTTTTTAGTTATGATAAGTCATATGGTATAAAGACATGAAGAAAAATGTAAAGTAAGGTTTATTTGGCAAGTAGAAAACCAGTAGAATTCATAGTTTATTTGGCAGCTGTTTTCCTTTCTGGTTTGGCACTGGTAACAAGTAACTTAAAAAGTATTCCAAGTAACCTATAATTCATGTAAAAGTGAACTTCAGTTAATATATCAATAATTCCTTTCTAATTCAGTTATAAAACCATTTTGAATTGCCTTATAGTGAACTTAAACTAAATTTAAATAACATTTTTAAAAGACTGCATGCAATTCTAAGCCCAGGGTCAAGTCTCACTCCCTTAATCCCAGCATTTGAGAGGCAGGGGAAAGAGGATCTCTGGGAGACTGAGGCCTGGTCACCATAGTGAGTTCCAGGGCAGCTGGGGCTTCAGGGAGACCCTGTCTCAAAAACACCAAACAAAAACTCATGCAATTCTAATAACTCACTTAGAATTGCTGAACCTTTTGTAGTTTTGTACATTTAAAAGTATTTTCAAATATCTTTCTTGAAACAACAGTGATGAAGTTGATGGAAGTAATGCCATTGTTTTACCAAGGAACAGCTAGCATATGAAGCCTAGAAACTGAGTTATTTACCTGAAGTCATCAGCTTTAAGTTGTGGAATTGGAAATGTAACCTTGGTGTTCTCTGTTGAATGGAAATACTCATTCCATTGTTAAAATAGGGAGGCATGTGGTATCATCAAGTACTTGTTGACTACTTTGTGGTAGACAGCACTTTTGTGGCTTATGATGGATATGAAGTTTTGAGTAAAATCTGAAACTTAATAAGAAAGGTTAGAATATGAAGAAAGCGAACCCTTGAAAAGATTGAATTCCTGGATGGAGTGTGATAATTTTTCGCTGCAGAGAGCTCCCATATTGATCTTGGCTTTTGATTCCACTTATATATGCCTTACTAAACAGCTTCCTCCCCTGGTATCCTTACTTCATGTCAGCCCCATTTCCTGTGTCTTTGTGAGCTACATATAGGGCTCCTTTTGAATAAATTTCTCTATCTACTGTAGCTCTCCTTGGACTGTTCTAACCACTCACATATTTTTCTTTTTTATGTGTATGAGTATTTGCCTGCCTGTATATATGTGCACTACATATGTGCCTGGAGCCTGCAGAGCCCAGGGACGGATTGGATCCCCTAGAACTGGAGTTACAGGTGGTTATGAGCTGCCATGTCAGTGTTGAGAGTAGAACTTGAGTTCTTTACAAGAGCAGTAACCACTGAGCAATCTTCTCAGCTCCTGTGGTTTCTTTAGTCTGATGTACCCCTCTTCAGGGTTATTCTACTCAACTTGGTGAAGCTTTATCTTTACCTCCACAGAATTAATCCCTCCTTCTGATAGTATCTTAATTTTAAAAAGTTTTAGTAGTACTTTTAATACCATAGTGTCTTTCTTCTTGAAAGAATATGCATCCCTTGAGGGCCATAGACTCTACTTAACCTTATATTGTCAATGCCTGTTGTACAGATTGTTTGATACGTGCTTGTATAATTTAATGAATGAAGGGGCCAGCTGAGTTTAGTAAGTATGTAGCATTCATTTATATATATATATTGACAAATTTCCTAAGTAATTTAGCCAAGAGCTGGAGTTCACTGGTAGAGCACTTGCCTAATGTGGGCATGGCTCTTGAGTTCATTGGCAACAACAGAAAAAGAGGTCAGGACAAATAAAATTCATTTCTTTGTTGCATTGTTCAGAAAAGCTTAGATCATTTTGATTTATATATGTGCTAGTGTGTATATATGTATGTTTCTTTTGGCATGTGCACCAGTGTATGTGTGTGTGTTGGGATGGAACCAAGGACCCTGCACATACTGGATGGACCCTCATCACTGAGCTAGATTCCCTAACCCCTCAATTTATGTTTTTGATGAAGATGAATTTAGAATGTTTTGAATAGGAATTTTGTATTAGTGATAGTTGTCATTGTTTGGTGTTCCTTTCTGGTGCCTCAATCTTTTGCCCTTTTTTTCATGTTGGTGCTCAAAAAAGAAAACTGAATCTTGTTAAAAGATTCAAAAGTTGTTACTTTTACCTTGATTCAACCTCTTCTCTTGCTTTTTTCCCTCATTAAGGAACATAATATACTAAAACATTTTAATAAGTAAAGAGCTACATTTTTAGATTTGGCAGTTTTCTTATTATTTTTATTCTATGTGTATGAGTGTATTGCCTACATGTAAGTGCACCACTGTATTGTGAAATGCCTGTGGAGATCAGAAGAGGGTGTCCGATTCTTCTGGAACTGGAGTTACGGACAGTTGCTAGCTGCCCTGTGGGTGCTGGGAATCAAACCTGGGTCCTCTGTAAGAAGGCTCTTAACTGCTCAGCCATCTCTCTAGCCACAACTTTTCTTATTTTAGAATAAGAAAATTATGATGATAAATTATGTTTTATTTTGAATTCTTTTTTGGTTAGGGGTGAATTTATATGTTCTTAGAGTGACAAAAGTGGTTCTTGACATACAGAAAATGTCATTTAAGTCTTTATATGCCTATTATATGTGCTTGAGAAATTGGCTCTTAGGACCCTTAAATCTGTAGCTGACTTGTTGAAGATGCTGGGTCATGTCCTGTGGAAGTTATTGTCTTGTTGACTCTCATGTTGTTTAGCCTGTTCACCTGTGTAAATCATATAAATTAAAAAATTTTCCTAGAAGCTTGTGAATTGACGTTAAAGCTACTTGACTATCAAGGATGAAGCTCTGCTTTTTATGTTGCATTAAACAAAAGCTGTGTGAGCTTTGTTTGACTTCGTGTCCTGAGGTTGCCTACTAAAACTGGAAGTCTTTCTGCTATGTTTCAATGATATATTCTTTACATTGGTGTTTCTCATACACATAAAATAAAAGCAAATATTTAAAAAATTTTTTGCCTGCTTGTAAGTGCACCACATATGTACTGTGTTCATGGAGGCCAGAAGTGGGAGTTGGATCTTCTGAAACTGGACTTATGGACAGTTGTTAGTTGTCTTCTGGGTGCTGGGAACCAAATCCAGGTCTTTTGCAAGAGCAGACGTACTCTTAACTGCTGAACTATCTCTCCAGCCCCTTGACTCTTAAATCAGTTTCTTACCAGCCATTTAACTATTGGTTTGGCTGGATTCTGTTAGACAATCAAGAGATAAGAAAGAACTGATGGGACTGTAGAATAAATAAGAACTGGTCAGATGGATAAGATTCATTGAGATGCAGATTTGGGGTTATTTTTCGTTAATTGGAAATAAATTCTTGAGTATAGAAGTTTGCTTTTATGCCAACTAGTGTGTAACATAGTTGAATCTGATTGGCATGCTAAGTATTGGTTGCCTTGGTCAGAAGTGAGAGTTGTTAGGCTTCAATCTCAGTTCAGTATTATGAAGGGCTGGAGGAAGTCTCAGACTCTTGGAATGTAATCTCGAAGTTGAAACTTGAAGTCTAAAAAGGTTAAGTGGTTTATCCAAGTTATACAGCTAGTTGGGGGATAGCTAGCTCTATCTTCCTGCGTCTCATTGTATCTACTTTTTTCTTACTGTTTCTTGTCTCATTTTTAACCAGGAAAAATTAGATGGTGTACTAGTAGTCTTTTCAGACAGGCTTAGGTTTTCATTTAAAATTTTTTTTTCATCTTGACATACATTAGCTGTGTGATATACAAAGTCTGGGAGTTTTCCTTATATGCTTACATACTGTAAATAGAGAAATGACCTTTCATTTTGGGCTCTTATTTTACTAATTCTTTTTCTTTTTTGGTGTTTTTGAGACAGGGTTTCCCTGTAGTCCCAGCTGGCCTGGAACTATGTTTGTAGACCAGGCTGGCTTTGAACTCATGGTGATCTGCCTGCCTCTTCCTCTCGAGAGCTGGGATTAAAGGCATGTGCCACCACACCCAGCTAGAGGATTTTAACATTGTTGTAAAATTGTCTTCAGAGTCTCTTTTGGAATAATGTATTTACCAGTATTTTTTAATTATACATGGTAGGGTGCAGACACATTTGACAACCTTTTATAATTATAGCTATATGGGGGAAAGCTTTATATATAGCTGATGTTTTTAAATGCATGCAAATTTGTAATGTTGCATATTTTAGATATTTCCTTAACTTAAATACTCAGATATTTATCCAAACATTATAGCTATGGGATTTCCTGCAGAAAGACTTGAAGGTGTATACAGGAACAATATCGATGATGTAGTAAGGTAAGAACTCTGGATTTTTCTATTTCAAATATTTAATGAATTTATTAATGTCATTTTAATTTTGAAAAGATTTCTAAAACATAGAAAGATACATACATTGTGGTATAGACTTACTTTTGTTATAGTAGTACTCTGAAAGTTTTTAACTTAAAGTACCTGATAGACCTCATTAAGATGTAACTCATTTGATAAAAACTTTGTTTATAATGTGGTATTTATGTGATGTGATTTCTTGCATTCATTCCCTAAGATGCCTCTCAGCAGGTTAATGCCTGGATTTTATTACAGTGCAAGTCTTCAAATTCTTGAGTAGGTTTATTCATTTATTCACATTGAGGTCTGGTTGACTGATGTGTCATGTGTTTTTATGGAGAAAGTTTGTATGTCTTCAGTAGTGTTTGGTACAGTGTTTATAATAGGGAATTGTTGAATACATCAAAAACTAAATTAATGATTTTTATAATTTTCTAGAATAATTACCATTTACTTCAGAAAAATGTATTTCTGAAGGCTCACTTAAATATTACTTTTTAAAATACATTATGACCTAAGACTATATAAGCATTTGTCTGTTGAATAAATTAATTTTAGTATTTCAAACAAAAAATGTATTTGCATGAATAAATGAAAATTAAATACTTGGTATAAACTGTAACACTTCAATTAATAATTAATTAATATTGGGTCTTAGTATGTTTCCTGTGCTGGTTTTGAAATACTTCAGTGGATTTAAAAGTCAAAATTCTGGATTATTTCCTTTATGTTCTTTTGTAAGTGCCTGGAACTTTAAAAAAAAAATATTTATTATTTTTATTTTATGTGTATGAGTGTATTGTCTGCATGTGTCTAAGTGCCCCTGTGTTGTGCAATGCCACAGAGGTCAGAAGAGGGAGTGGAGTTAAGGGCGGTTCTTAGCTGCCATGTGGGTGCTGGGAATCAAACCCAAGTCTTCTACAAGAACAGTGCTCTTAACCCCTGAGCCATCTCTCCAGCCCCTTCCCTGGAACTTTTAAAGATTTGGTGATTATGAGAATTTAAATGAGTGGGAAAACATTTTGTAACTTACAGGGTTATGCTGATGTAGAAAGCTTTTATTATAGCTGAATAAGTGCATGACCTTTGACCTTTCATCTTTTTATGAGCTATCAGTTTTTGTAAGTGATCATTTTTTTACTGTATTGAGTTCTATTTAGATTTTTATCATGTTTCTATTTTGTTCAGGCTCGAATTTCACTATAAAATATCCTAAAACAAACCCTAAACCCCTTGGTCTATTTTGTAGTTTAAATGTAAAATGTATTACATTTTAGATGGTAGTGTCAGGTACTGTTTAAAAACTTAAAAATAGAGAAATGCCTTTGCCTTCTCATAATTAGGTCCAACACAGTGGAAGGGAACTTAATATGGCAGACCCACGGGAGCAGCAGCTTGACACTGCCAGTGATAACACACACAAAGAAGATGAAGTAGGCCATAGAAAACGAATAAGGGAGGAAATTTTTGAATTGAAGTGGAGAATATGGAAAATGAGCAGGATAATGTGTCTTCTGCTGTAGTGCAGAATTGTTTATCAGACCTCTTTGTGCCTTGTATATATTGCCTCCTAAGATGAGCTATTTCATATAATTTTTTTTTTTTTAGTCTTTGGGATGGGCTCTCCCTGTAGCCCCAACTGGCCTAGAACTCACTATGTAGACTAGGCTGGCCTTGAACTCACAGAGATCTGCCTGACTCTGCTTCCCAAGTGCTGGGATCAAAAGCGTGCGTCACTACGTCTGGCACAAACTTCATATAAATTTGATCTTCAATCAAGAACTAAGTCCTCTAAGCCAAGACCTTAACTGCACTAAAGGGGAGGGTATGAATATGAACACTTCGAAGAACTGGGAGGATATTGTGTCACTGTAAGGACACTCATGATTAATCTGACACACTAATTTTTATGTTAGTTTCTATTGAGTGTGAATAAGTCAATGAGGATGATTGGTCATCTTTTTAGGTTACTGAGAGATTTCAGCTTCTAGTCTATCACTGACTATCAGACCTTATAATTAGTAACTTCATCAAGAATATGTTGTACTGGGAAGTTAGTTTGGGCTCACAGTCTTCTGATTTCATAATCCCTGCCTTTATGCTTTCAAATTAAAAGATTTGCATATTCAGCCAGGCGTGGTGGCACATGCCTGTAGTCCCAGCACTTGGGAGGCAGAGGCAGGCGGATCTCTGTGAGTCCAAGGCCAGCATGGTCTACATAGTGAGTTCCAGGACAGCTGGGGCTACAGGGAGACCCCGTTTCCAAAAAAGACAAAAAAAAAAAAAAAAAAAAGATTTGCATATTCATGTTGTAGTCAGTAACCAAGACTGAAATTAATTCTGTCCGGCTTTAATCTCTAGTTTGTTTTATTTAGTCTTATAATTTTTGTCAGGTCTGTTTTTCCTAAAAAGCTTTCTTTCTGAATTATTTGGCCAGTGGTTCTTTTTGCCACCTCTTACTGTAATGTTAGTGTCGATAGAAAGCTCTGCTTTTTGTTTGGGTTTGTTTTGTATCTTCTTTTTTGAATTGGATAAATGGCCAGTTTGGCATGGATAACTTCTGTGTACCTGTCCCCTTAGCAGTAGAAAGATCAATAGTGACTAGAAAGGAAGATTTTTTTTTCCTATAAACTAAAATGAAAATAATTCTTAATTTGCTTGTTAGGATTGGCTTCTCTAAGGAGCGGTTATGTCCAGTACCTAAATAACTAATTACGTTGATTGATTTATACTGTATTGGGGATATTAGTAATAATAGTGATTCTTTCTTGGTTTAAAGTTGATAACATTTCAGTATAAATGTCTCGTTTTCATATACTTTTTTTTTTTTTTTTTTGTCTTTTTGAGACAGGGTCTCCTTGTAGCCCCAGCTGTCCTGGAACTCACTAGGGAGCCCAGGCTGGCCTCGAACTCACAAAGATCCCCCTGCCTCTGCCTCCCAAGTGCTGGGATTAAAGGCGTGTGCCACCACGCCTGGCTCATATACCTTTTATATCAGTTACTTTTGTGTGTCACAAAATACTTGGTGGAAACAGCTTAAGGTAGGAAGGCTTATTTTGTCTCGTGGTTTCAGAGGAATTTCAGTCTATTGTGGTGAAGAAGGCAGGGCAGGACACATTCCTTCCACCTGTCCATTCATGGCACTAGGAGTTCATAGTGAATGGAATGTGTGGCAGAGACACCTCATTTGGTGAGCAGGAAGCAGAGACCAAGCTAGAAACAGGGTCAAGGATAACCGTCACAGGCCTGCCCCTAGTGACCAACTTCTGTCAGCCTGACCACACCTTCAAAAGGCTCTATAACGTATGCAGGTCATTTCAGATTCACACTATGACTTCTTTTCTATTAATAAAAGTATTTTCAGGGGCTAGAGAGATGGCTCAGCAGTTAAGAGCACTAACTGCTCTTGCAGAGGACCTAGGTTTGATTCCCAGCAGCCATATGGCAGCTACAAACCATCCTTAACTCCAGTTCCAGGAGAATCTGAAGCCCTCTTCTGACCTCTGCAGGCTGCTCCAGCTTGGAAGTAGTGAGGCTGAAAGTTCAGTCCATGTCTGTGAGATTCCAAAGCTGATTTCTTTTCTTTATTGTCTTTGTATTTGAGACAGGGTCTCACTACTTATCTCAGGCTGGCCTTGACCTCGAGATCCTCCAGACTCAGCATTCTCTGGGCTGGAAGTACAAACCTGTAATACTGCCTAGCCTTAGCTCATTTTTTTTTTTCTTACTTTTTTTTTTTTTTGAGTTCTGGGGATAGAACTTACTAGGTAAGCACTCTACCACTGTGCTGTACAAGCTCAAACTGATTTCTTAACTGTTATCCTGTGTATCAGACAGCAAAATCTAAAAAAAACTCTTGGCAAATCTAGCTCGATGATATATTTGGCTTAATTCATTTTTGGTTCACACACAGGGCTTAAAATTGGAATTTATGCATACCTTTAATCCCAGCACTTGGGAGGCAGAAGCAAGCAGATCTCTGTAAGATTAAGGCCAGCCTTGGTTACGTAGCGAGTTCTAGGCCAGAGACCCTACCACAAAACAAAACACACACAAAAAAATTGTTTCTTCCCTGTATTTTAAATCAGGAAGTCTAATGTAAAAACCTGTATTTCTAGCTTCTTTTACAAAGCTGAAGGAGTTGCCAGCTCTGATCTCACATTCCTGTGTGACAGATCAGCTCGAGTTGTGTAATGCCTGACCTCTGTCACTAAACACATTGTTAGCTGCCATTTCTCATCTTCTGCCTTACATAAAACTGACTGACCAATCGCAAGGCATTAGAGACTGTAACTTTAGTTCTATATAAATTCATTGTTTTTGCTTTATTAGTACATGTACAGCCTGATTTTGGTACCCAGTAGAGTATTATAGAGTGTTTTTATGTGAATTGTGTTATTTTAAATGTACTATAGGTTCATTGCAGAGCTCTAATCTCCCGTTAACAGGAATCATAAAGAGAAAACAAGGGAGAGATCATTGAGAAAGTAGCACTGGAAAGTTCTTTGTGATTTGAGTCTGTAGATTTTTTTTCCATCACTGTTCCTATATAGTGCCATGCACAGTTTAAAAAAAAAAAGCCCAAGCTAGATACATTATTATGGAATTTCTTTTAGGACTTTAGAAGTAAAGAAAATATCTCAAAAGCTTTTATGTTTCTTTAGGAGGGATAAGAAATGTGAATTGTGTCTAACATCTTGATAGTAGAATTAAAAGTGGATGATTAGACTGCTACCTTAAAAGTTCAGCCCCCAATTTGGTATCCAGACAAAACATCAAGTATTAGAGGAATAAACCTGGAAAGGTAATGGTTTTAGTAAGCAGACTGTCTCAGAAGCAACAAGGGAAAGTCTCAGGGTAAATTCCACAACTGAAGAGATAGCTGTTCTGACTGGAACAGAGAACAGAGGGCTTCAGGAAAGAAAATACAGCTGATAGGTGATATGGAGGGGTGAGGATGCTGTAGATT